ATTTTAGACTTTGCTGGCAATATTGGCTATACTTGTACCAAATTTGTTTCACGAAGTAACCTTCTTCATAAAGGCCAGTGAGTTTCAGCGAGGGTTGGGGCTAAAATGGAGACTTTATCAGGAGGGAGGTAGGCTGGTGGAGCTTTATTTATTTGATGCCATCATGGCAGTATATATATGAATTGATGGTTCATATACATTCACTGTAAGGGTCAAGTTGCTCATGTCATTTCTTTCAGTTTGTGGTTTTCTAAAGTTTCTTTTTCATTGTGCTGTGAACTAACTTTTTTGAAACACTAGAAGATTGTTGTCCCTTGCTTGCAATAGCCTTTTCGTCCATATCCTGAAATGTCTGTACTAGTCATTGTTTTATCTTTCTTTGCCATTCATACTTTTGTTTTGTCTAAAATATATTTCATCTCCTGTTTCAGTCTGCTGTTTGACATCTCTCGTGTTTAAGAACTAAATCTGTGCTTGGATCTTTGTCTGACTTGCTATTTTCTTACTTTACGTTGCTTTAATGTAGTAATGCCAACCTGTTATGAAATGGAACATATAGTATCCATTTTCATAACTTTGTTTCCAGTATCCTAGACATCTGAGGACAATTTGACAAACAATTAAAATGGAAAAAACATTTAAAGCCATTAACAACACATAGTGCAGTGAGTTGTTCAAAAATGAGAGCTCAGTTTATCTGGTTTATATCATGTTTTCTATTGAAAGCAGGAACTACAGGCTTGGACCTTCATACTGCTAAAAGGCAACCTGCTCATTCTTATCTGAAATGTGTTGTATGTAGATAGAGCCACTCAGTGGAGGATCGGGATCATGTGTGTCTCTTGACTGTCAGTGATTGTGAATGGGTTTTCAGGGAGGGACCTCTGGTCTCAAATCAGCATTAAGAGTGGTTCCCAGCCTGCCAAATCATCATCCAAAATTCAGTCTCAACCCCACATGGCCCCCACTGAAGGAAAGAGGCCTCCCTTGCTGTCTTGGTTCCAAATAATGCCTTGAATGTCTCTGCATATTTTGATGATGGAAAGGGCGTATTAAATGTTTTGGTTTTCATGGAATCATAATGTGGATTGGGGGAATGGTATAAAGACTTCAGAGATTTTTTTGTAATCTTGTAAAATAACGAATTAGGGATTCATGTTAAAGAACATTCCAGTGTAAACTAAAAAAAAAGTCAATAAAGAGTCTAAAAGGATCTTTTGTGACCTGTCCTTTTTCTGCAGTTAAAGGGATATTTCACTTTGAAATTAATTTTTTTTTTTATATGTTTTTGCTTACCTCAAGGGCATCCAAAATGTAGGTGTCTTTGTTTCCACAGCTTTGTTTCAATTTTCAATTTTGACATTTTTTGGTCAAACCGTTGTTGTCTGTCAGTCCTATAATGCAGTTAAAATTAAACATGATTTAATGACTCGTGAATGTAAGTACACATTGATGGCCTAAGACACGAAACGAGCGGTTTGTGTGAGAAAACGAACAGTATTTATATAGTTTTTACCTCTTGTTATGTCCAACTGAACCGTCTCCAGACGTTACGCCGGAAGTGATCTCTCGCGCGTTGTTTACATGGAGATTTCGGAAGTTTTACCTTTCACTAAACATATTTAGATATATCGAAATCGCACACAAACCGCTCGTTTCGTGTCTTAGGCCATCAGTGTGTACTTACATTCACATTAAATCATGTTTAATTTTGACTTCTCTGTGCATGCTCTTTGAGGTGGACCCCCTAAAACTGCATTATATGACTGACAGACAACAACGGTTTGACCAAAAAATGTCAAAATTGAAAATGCTGTGGAAACAAAGACACCCACCTTGAGGTAAGCTAAAACATATCAAAAATTAATTCCAAAGTGAACTATCCCTTTAATGTGTCCTGTTACAATGTAATTATGGTCTGGAAAATATGTTGAAGACAGTGTATCTGATTTTTATAATAGCACATTACAAAGCCATATCAGGCCATCAGTATTTTCATGAAGCCAATGTAGCAGCACTATTTTTCTCACCCAGTCACGTGAACCAGTCAGTTTTTTGATTGGTCACACTGAATGAATCATGTTATATCTGTTTTGTTCTTTTTTCTTTCTTCTTGTTTTTTTCACCTTAAATTAGCGTGGAGAGTTGAGGTAAGTTTTTACAGGCTGGGCTTTTCTCATATGTGTTTGTTAGAAGCACTGAAAGTAGATTGAGGCAGTGCTCGAATTGGCTTTATGCATCCTTCCTCCTCAATTGGCTTAATGCACAGCTCCACTACAGCCAGCTCCTTTCCTCAGATATTTGTATTATAGTAAAATATAATAATTACAAATCTGATTAAATGCATGCAATGGATACGGTAAATTTCATGAATTATTTACAATAATTTATATTAAGTTTGTTTATAGGCTAGTTTAGCCTGACTACGTCAAGCTAGTTGCCATAGAGAAAAGTTCTTTAAAAATTAACTACATTTTAAAATATTTTTTAAAGGCATATCTATTTGAACTTCACTGAAAAGGCCAAATGTATTTGTAAATTTTGTTTTCTGAGAACAAAACAAGCCCTGCTGTCTAATATCAGAGCTTGCTGAGTGGAGTAGATATGTAGATGAAAATGAAACGTGCACAACCACCAGAGGTCATCATTTCTTCCACTTCAGCTTCTATTCTCTGTGTAATGGTCTGAATCTTATGAATGGAAACAGCCACTCTGATTTACACTGTGAGGGTTAGTTCACCCAAAAATGAAAATTAAGTCATTAATTACTCACCCCCATGCTGTACCAACCCCGTAAGACCTTCGTTCATCTTCGGAACACAAATAAAGATATTTTTGATTGAATCTGAGAGCTAGATCAGTCCTACATAGACTGCCTAAGGGACTGGCTCTTGACGGCCCATAAAGTCATTAAAGAAAAGGTTTAAATATTCCATGTGCCTACAGCGGCTCAATTATAAGTTTATCAAGCGACGAGAATACTTTTTGTGCGAAAAAACATAAATAACGACTTTATTCCACTATTCCATTACTTCCTTATGGGCGCATGCGCGAGAACGGAGACGAGGACGTTCTCATTCGTCTACTTCTTGTTACCGGCTGCTCACCGCTTAGGAGTTTTACCGCCCCCTACCGTATAAGATGATGTGCTGATATAGCCGGAAGCGCAAAACTTTCTGTTTACAAGCAGAGAAAGATGCGCGCTGTACATACGCTTTTCAATTTGCGTATTTTCCGCACTACAAGGTGCACTTAAAAGCCTTTAATCTTCTCAAAAAACGACAGTGTTCCTTATAACCCGGAGCGCCTTATATATGGATCATCATTTTATACGGTAGGTGGCGGTAAAACTCCTAAGCGGTGAGCAGCCGGTAACAAGAAGTAGACGAATGAGAACGTCCTCGTCTCCGTTCTCGCGCATGCGCCCATAAGGAAGTAATGGAATAGTCGAATAAAGTCGTTATTTATGTTTTTTTCGCACAAAAAGTATTCTCGTCGCTTGATAAACTTATAATTGAGCAGCTGTAGGCACATGGAATATTTAAACCTTTTCTTTAATGACTTTATGGGCCGTCAAGAGCCAGTCCCTTGGAAGCCTATGGAAGAGTGATTCAGCTCTCAGATTCAATCAAAAATATCTTTATTTGTGTTCCGAAGATGAACGAAGGTCTTGCGGGGTTGGAACAGCATGGGGGTGAGTAATTAATGACTTAATTTTCATTTTTGGGTGAACTAACCCTTTAAAGTAAAATCCCCTTTGCTGTGAAACACATGTTTTTGCGACGATGATATTTCTATCCTATATACTTTTGCTAACGTTTTAGTGTTTAATTCGGAGTGTGGATTTTATAGATAAATCAGATAGAGATGGAAGGAAGATGAAGAAAAATAAGGTTAAAGGGTGTTTACGCACAAAAGTGTATAGTCTTTCTGTAGCGTATGTTCTAGACTTAAGTTTTAATGGCATTAGGAAAACATTCAAGAACACCCCCCCCCCACCCCACCCCTTCCTCATACACACTTGCCTGGTATTTTAAAGTTAACCTGGAGATGATATATTAAGCAGAAGCCATTACCTTTTATTTATACTTTTATTACTTATCTGATAATATCCCGTCCCACTGAACATTTACAAACAGATTTTTAAGTTGCCATTCTTTGCAACTTCACATTCTTCTTTAGCTTCCCCAAAGTTTCCAACCCACACAACGTCCTCTCCAGACATGCGTTGGTGGAATGTCTCATGAGTTGAGATGGGTTGGGTTTATGGGGAGCCACTATTGCGTATGTGTGTATTTTGGGTGTTTAACATTTGGACGCTAAAATAAGACGTTATTCTGAGTAGCACAACAGCCATTTCTCTGTTTCAAAAACGTCATCTCCACAAACTCCTCCAATTTGCCTTCACTTCTCTGTTTCTGAATTTTAGTTTTCTCTTCCGATTGTTGTCCTAAGAAATTTTACAGAGGGCCTTTTTAACGTATTTAGAGGGCAGCTTTATTGGCTTATTGTAATTGAATTTAATTTCACATTTTGCTTATCTGACTTGGCCTGAGCTCAACTATGTTGTGGGAATTAGATTTCTTTATACAGAGAATCAAATGGACGTTGGAGAATCAGGGAGAGTGAGGACTAAAAAATGAGCCACCTGACTTGTTTCCACAATATGCTGATATTACGAATCTAATCTTACGAGACACCATTTCTGAAATCTCTACATCAGTGTGGTGATAAATCACCCCTATTGTATTCCAGCCTCTCTCTCTCTCTCTCTCGGCCTGTCTCCTGATCTGGGATCAGGGTGGGTGTCTCGTTCCAGAGGCTGAACAAGTGAGGAGCTCTTCAGCTGTGAGAATAAAAGACTGCCTTGTGGTAGCAGAATGAAAAAAAAGAAGGGAGGGAAGAAGTGTGTGAGAGACTATGAGGGTTGGAAAAGAGAAGGAGAGGACAAGGGGTGGAGAGAGAGAGAGAGAGAGAGCATGTAGGTGGGGGAACAGCCCAGGACAGACAGATGAGGGAAGATATTTCTCATTTTTAGTTCTGAATGATTTGTTCATCCTGCTCTGGTGCTCCACAGAGTTTAAGATGTCTTAAAGTGAGCATGAGTTTCCCGCTCTAAGGATTATATGTAGGACTGACAGAGCTTAGGATCTGAACTCAGGTAAGGCTTTGACTGACAGCTGGGTTTTTGTGATGAAGTTTTCTGAATGCATTTAGAGTGATCATTTTATGAAACAAGTAAGAGATTGGTGCTAATATGTAATGTGGATAATAATAATATACCATTAAGTTACTAAGCATCCCCAAAAATGTTAATTATTTTGTTTTATTATTAATTTGGGGTGGTGATGGCACAGTGGATAAGACACATGCCTTTGGTGTGAGAGACCCGGGTTCGAATGCTCCAGAGGTGTTCAACCTCTGACATATATGGCAATTGTCGCTGTGGATAAAAAGCGTCAGCTAAATGAATAAATGTAAATATAATTAGTAAAATTACATCAATTTTATATATAAAAAAACAAATAACTATAAATAGTAACACATTTGTCTCCATGGTAACCTATTCAAAACTTGTTTTACAATCTTTGTTAGAATTAGTATATGAATCATTGAAAGAGGAACTGAAAGGGATCAGATTTCGGAAGAAATTTGACTTCAGTTTATGACACAAATGGATGCAGTCTTTAAAAAGTAACAACAGTGTAACAGTCTTTGCACCCTGATGTCATAGTGTGAGTTATGAATTACCTCATATGAATGCATTTCTTCATTTTAGGTAAGGTGTGTGTGTGAGTAATGGAGAACTCTATAGTCTTTATGTGTTGAATATTAGAGAGAATGAAAATGGGCTGCACTGGACAAGGATGGAAATAATGGCCCTGACCTAAAGAATGGACAATGAGACTATTGTCCCAGTGGGGACAGCACTGTACACCAGTGTATGAGAAGTGTGCAGGAAGGTTGTGCTTGGTCTGCTGACACAATTTTTTTTTTTGCACCATCAATGCTGCTTTCACTAAAAGAGGCTGACTAACAGGTGGTTTGAAACATTCCTTGTCTGTCAGTCAAATGACTCCACTGTTTAATTAATCAGGTGTAGAGATTTGGAAACACATTCAATACCTCTTCTGTATGCCACCTGTGTGCTGTATGACCCCTGCAATGCAACAGTCATAGATTAAACATTTTTGACACAGCTAGATATTACACATGTGACATAAATTATAGGCACTAACATTTAGTTCCAGTCCATGAATTTGACAGGCTGTGCAACCTGCTTGTTTGTGTTTGCACTTTCCAGACAGTCTGTCTGAATTCCAAGGATTTCTCAGGGACTTTCTTAAGGTTACATCATTATGTCAGTAGGTGGCGACTATGCTGCCTTCACTTGTGGTATCGGAATGATCATAAATACAAGTTTCCTATGAAATTGGACATGAATATACCCTCTTAAGTCATATTTACTTGGAAACTTAGATATAACACTGCCTTCACATGCTATTGGAAATTTCCTTTGAACCGTAAACTCTAAAGATGGTGGAGGGGAGAATAATTTCTCCTGTGACTGGTATTTAAATTAGTTTTTTTTTTGTTTTTTTTTTGACAACAGCTCACCTTGTTTTGTTGTTAAAATTGTGCATGAATAACAGCGAAAATAGCACCTATTTCACCAAGATTTCAGAATCATCAGCAAGCTGACTAGATGGCACAGTGGATGGTCATCAAAAAATAGGTTGTTACATTTTATACAAAAGAAAACATCTTCAATACATGTTGACTTTAATAAGATCTCCCTAAGAAATAGGCTAGAATAAACCTGGTGTCCTCCACGTTTTCTATCTGACAAAGCACTTGAAAGCAACAAGCTTGTAATCACGACATCAGAAATGGAGGACATTTCCGGTAGTACATGAATTCTGCATAATAATCGTATTTAAGAGATCACAACACATACTACTTTCAGTTATAGGGACTGTTCTGGGACTCGGAATAATGCCTTTGTATGGCGAAACTATCAACACCAAAAAAAAAAAAAAACTGCTTTGGTAAGGTACAGCGGTCACATGGTACAAGTCAGAATTGGGATCTTTTGGCACTATTTAACAACTTTTTTAAAAGCTCGTCATTATGGTAATTGACATCGAATGATTGAACCTGGATACTTCCCTACTATATAGTAGGCGAAAACCAGTGGACTATGGCTATGGGAAGTCCTTTGAAGGATGCAGCCTATGAATTGGGACATAGCCTTTAAGTGAGTCCTTGAATCAAACAATAAACCAATTCATTCAAAACACTGATTCATTCAGGAAACAAACACAAACAAAGTCACTTCACTTGGAGCAGTAAGTTTCACTTTTCTAAGGGATGATTCACATGGAACGCATTTTCTCATTTAATAATGTGAGACGCCAGGTAGTGGAATGAGAGTTTGATGTATCCACGATTGCTGGAAGAGTTGCCTAAGTGTGTGTTTAAAACAAACAAATATACAAAGAAACGTGTGCATAAAAGGTAAGAGGGAGTGGATGAAACAAACATAAAGGAGGAACAAAAAAGGGGAATTGAACACCAGCACTGACTTGGTGAAAAAAGAGCCAAAGAGGATTCAATAACCTTGGCATAATTCCTCAAGCTTTTCTCCTAGTGCCCACACCTGTAGCTCACACCTGCAGACAGCACGCCCACAGTCGCTTCACTGAGCGATTTATGCCAATAATCAAAAGTCTGGCTCGGCGAGTCTTACTTAGCTTTTGTTCGAGGTGTTGCTTACGTTCTCCATGTAGTATTTATAAGGAAATGCACTTCCAATATGGGAACCCACAAATGTGAGCTACTAGCTAAAGTTTCAGGGATTTTACATTCTCTGTCTGTTTGAACCATAAATCCAGTTTCTTTTACCTGAAGTGAACTATGAATTTGTCTATTCGATCATACTTGAGTTCACATTTCTTTTCCTTTGAGGAATTACAAACACTACATAATGGAATGATAATATAGGGATGCAAACTGAGTAGATCTCAGATTTTCTCCCCCTTACATGGGATTGAAACTGAAATGTTTGTTTAGTCTTATCAATGTCATTCCAAAAAGAAGTCTGTTTTCATTAGAAGATTGAGTTATGTTGTATAAAATTTGTAAATTAAAATGACATCAAAGGGGGAAAAAAGTAAAAAATGAACCGTATCATCCACAGTCATTCACAATAAGATCTATTACATGTATTTTCATAAAATTTCATATCATGGTGACTTAAATAAATGGTATGAGTACAGGTGTGATGGAAGATGTGGACGTTACACTCAGTTCTGACATGTGCTTGTGAAAAAGTGTGACATTTTTGGCCAAAATAGGCAGGCTGAGACTGGAAATGCTTTCTTGAATGTGTTTATTTTAAGTTCAAATGGTTGGTAATTAAAAAAAGAAAAGGAAAAAAGCACCATACGCAAGAATGTTCCCTCTTGGATAGCATTTAAAAAAAATTAAGACATTTTCTCATATACGACCGTGCCAATGAAACAAATCCAGTCTTTCTTCTCACTCTCTCACAAACACACTGCTATAAACAGTGTTCTGATCTCAGGCATTTCTGCCACACAAGCCACTGTGACTGTTTTCTGGGGTGAGATCTGTGGTCAATCGTTCTGACGCCTTGTTGCTTTACTCTGATACTATAATAAGTGACTAGACTGTTGCAAAATGCTGCAAGAGATTAAAGCAGCATGTCCCTGCCGTCAAAGAATTTATGAGTAAGACCAAAATGCTCAGCTTTGATATCACATGTGTCAAAGACAGCAGTCCAGCATGGAAATTTGGAAAGTTATCTAGCAGCTAACTTTCCAACTTGTGTGCTTGCCATGTGTTGACCATGGGAGCTTCACTCTAGACTTCTGAGCCTAATGCCTTACACATGAATGTTTGAAGCTTTGGTGGAATAACCATTCTCACATAAAGTCATTAGAATTTTAACTCCCAGAGGAGGACAACAAACAAATAAATAACTTAAATTGGCTCAACAGTAAGGTACTAGTGGCTCAAAACAGAGGACAGCTTTAAATTGTCAGGCATATTGACATTTGTTCTCAGTTGTGGGTGAGAAGGGGGCAGCTGGAGACTGTTTATTCCCAGAGAGTAGCTTGATCATAGGGTCAAGCTACAGGAAGAGTCTCCGCTTATGAGCCCACACCGGAAGAGTCTGCTCATCTTCCAGCTGTGGTTGCCTAGTTGCTGCTCAGATTTGTTTGTGTTCATTTTTTATGTGTTTGGACTCTTTTGACATCTGTCTTACTCACTGGCAATGGCCATGGAAAAAAAAAGGATTTCTTTCTCGTCCTCCACCAGACAGAAGTTTTTCCTCTAGTGCTTTGATTCATGGCTTTCCCATGTTTCTTAGGATTGTTACCAATCAGTCTGGCTCGCTGTGTGATGGATTGCTTTGTTGTATGTTGACTTAGAGACAAAGCTTAAATGTTTGCATAGGAGTTCCATGACAACTTTCGTTGACTACAATGAAAAAAAAAATTTTTTCCATAAATGAGTCTAATAATGTAACAAATATTCTTAAAGTGACTCACGTCAGCAGATTTGCAGCTGTTGAACATCAAATGGAAAACACCACTTTTTGTTTTGCTTCTCTGGAGGAGGGAAGAACAGGAAGTGAGTATAGGGGGACTCGACCTGGAATATCAAGGACTTTTCCATCCTCCAGAAGTGCGTGTAAACTCAAATCTGTCCGAAATGAGTCCATCTGCTGCATGACGATCTGACTCTTTAATATCATTCCAGCAGTTCTTTAAAAATAGCAACCACACATGCATCAGATGTTTCCTATTGTCTTCTAACGGTTGCTTTAAAATGAAAACATGACATTAACGTCAAATATAATTCTTAAAGGGATAGTGTACCCGAAAATTAAACGCAAACACAAAAGAAGATATTTTGAAGAATGGTGGTAACCAGTTTTGAACAAAACAAACAAACAATCATTTCTTAAAATATCCTCTTTAATGTTCCACAGAAGAAAGAAACTCATAACATAAGGGAGATAAAAGTAGCCTATGTGTAGCATGTTTTTGAGCAGTTAGCTGCATACGTAAACAGGTGAGATGAGCTCACAGAAAATGACGTAGATAAATTGTTGTAGACGTTGTAAAGTCACTCGTGATTTATCTTTCTAAATTTAGACATATACTTGACGATTATTCATGGGTGTTTGGAAAGATGGACCGCACACCTGGATTCTGACAGAGACTTTTTTATGTGAATTCCTCTTCCTGTGCACTCTCTCTCTCTCTCTCTCTCTCTCTCTCTCTCTCTCTCTCTCTCTGTCCCAGCTGTGGCGGTACTATGTAATTCTGTCCTCAGAAACTTCAGAACATTCAGTAAGAGACATGAGTGAGCGGCAGGGACAAACAAACAGCAAGAGCTTGACTGTAGACGGTCAACCAAAGGCTCAAAGACGTAAAAACAGGACATAGCACAGAGACTGTCAGTAAACAAGGCCATGCAGCAACAGAACGGGTATTTCTTGGGCTAAAAATATGGTGAGTGGGCTTGATGTTGCCTATGGGTTCTTAAGAACTTGATATTTGGTATGTCTACAAACTCTAAATGAAGTTTCTTTGGTTGATTTTACTACTGCATTGATTTTTGGCAGCTATGACTCAAGAAATGTAGCGTAAATGTTTCATTATATCAATTGCTTAGTATTTATGAGTATTATGCCAAGTGCAGAAGTAACTCAAAAACTATTATACATTCCATATAATCAAAACACTTAAAATAGCCTATACATTTTTTTAAATTGAAGTTATTATTATATATTTTAATAAAACATTTTGAATAAAAATACTATATTTTAATAATAGAATAGGCTATACATATTTAATTTATTTAATGTGGGATAATGGACTGTTTTTATTTTTCTTGTTCTTGGTTGTGACTTTTAAAAGAATTTTTAAATCTCAGTGTAATTTAACTTTTTTCAGAGGATTAACAAGTCGCTAGGCCTTCAAGTTTACAGTTTTTGATTTCTGTTTCCCAAATTCACCGACTGCCCATGCTACATTTAGCTGTACTGTTATATTAGCTGTATGTTCCTGCTATGGTTTCCTTACTTACCGTAACTCTAACATACTGCCACACGTGTTTGTGTGTGTGTGTGTGTGTGTGTGTGTGTAGCCTGTATGATTATAACCCCTGTAAGAGGAGCTTTGTGGTTTGTGCTATGTGGTTGAGTCTATTTTCTGCTGCAGAGGGCAGGACACAGTGGCATAACTGCAGTCTTAATGACACGTTTCAGAGGCATGCCACTTACCGGTATGAAATCCTCCAGTTGAAGTGATATCAAGTGTATATTTGTTTGTTTTGTTTATTTGTGTGCAAATATATTTGAATCAAGGAATCTGTATGCATTCAAGTCAGTGTGTCTATATTGTCCAGTTGTGTGTGTGATGGTGAGAGCAGTGACCATATTCAGAATAGTGACAGAGGCTTTCTGTTCTCTTTTCCCTCTGTCACACACTGAACGTGGTTGTGAGAGGCGGTAGGCCTGTAGCACTTGCCAGCTGCACTTGCAAACATGACATCAGGAATGAAAGGGAGAGAGAGGTTAGCTGGGGAAAGGAGGAAAAGATGAAGTTTGGTTTTGTACCAGCTGTTGAGTTAAAGACTAAAATGTCCATCATATATGCACGCACCTAACCTGTCTTCGCTTGTTTGGAGAAGCGAAGCGTCTCATTCCAGTCGTTTCCCTGACTGGACATGCCAGCAGTGGAAACAGTTTCCCTTGCCTTAAAATCACTCAGTTTTGGCTTTACACCCATCTAGGATAACCTCTCACGACAACTCAACGGTTGTTTTTTTTACATTGTTGTTAAGAAAAAATGTAACTGAGGAGAAATAAACGAATATATTAATATTCGTTTTTGTATTCAATTATCAGAACATTCATTTGTTTTAAATCAGAAGCACTGACTTATTGTTTAATATTGTCAAGAAAAATGTAGTGTGGTGAAAGGCTACACAGTATTTTCTGCTGTTTAATGTCAGAACAAGCAATTTTGCACTGATTATAAACTGCCAAATCAAATTATTAATCAATAAAATAGTGTCGCAAAGTTACATGATTTTAAGCATAATGTTGCTACCACATCGCTACTGAGTTACCACATCTTTTACTGACGTTATTGTTCTTCACTGATCCTCAATGATCATTATGTACAAAAAAAACACGTACTGAAAATTCTGTTTTTGATGTTTTTGCTGTGCCAGACTGTAAATGTGGAATAGTTGAGCTACAGCTAAGAGCTCAGCTAAGATGAAAACTATTAGCTAAAAACTTCTTATAAGATAAAACTGATTACTTATGATTTCGATGACTCGGATGGTTAAAAAGAACCCACCCACACGCACAGAACCTGATGTTCAGTTTGTCTTGTGGGTCTGTTTCTCTGTGATTCCCTGTGTGTTTTGTCTGAGAGACATTGGCATGAGTCAGGGATGAGGAAGGAGGGAGAGGGGGAATTCAGGTTAGGGATGCTCCTAAATGACTGATCTGCTCTGAAGTGTGCTGACCTGAGGTCTACTCTAGTTTGTTCACGCTAATGTGCCTGTGTCTACCATAGATAATTGGCTGCATCTGTTCACTCCGAGTCTGGGTGTGTGTGTGTTTGTGCGTAAGATGAGTCACACTGACTCATGCTGTGTATTTCAACTAAGATGCAGACTTCAGTCTGTTCACGACAGTTGGTTAATCATAATATGCATTTGTTATCATTACATCACTGTATTTTGTCTACAATAAGGAAACACTTGATGTATTTCATTCATTTCATTGATCATTCATGTTAAGCTCAAAGACACAAGCTTTAAGCATTGCAACATTGCCAGATATCTATTCTAATAGTCTGTTTATAGATAAATACAAAAAAAAAATACATTGTGTATATGACCCAGTCCACTCACGTTTTATTTGACTGAACTTTAGCCATTCAGCAAATAATTTTTGGACTAGCTGATTTAAAAACAAAACAAAAAACAAAAAAAAACTCTGTATTATTTATTATTATTTCCAGCAGGATCTTGACAAATGTCATGAAGTGATTGACAACTCCATAGACATGGACAGGCTGAATCAGAACGTTCCAGAACACGGTCATCTGACTCATCGGGTCTTACAGGTGAGTGTGTGATCTGTATACATATACATTCACAATACTGTTCAAAAGTTTGGTGTCTGTAAGATTTCTTTTTTTTTTTTTTTTTTTGATTTTTGAAAGAAGTCTCTTAATATTCTCACAAAGGCTGTATTTGATTTTTTTTTTTTTTAAATACCATAAACTGTATTATTGTAAAAAAAATCTTGTTTTTATCGCTTTGGCACATTTTTTGAAACAGCCTTAATATTCTCCAAAACAATTAATTCATCCTTCAAACCCTATACAGGGTCCCCATGGGTCCTTGAAATTCTTGAAGGTTTGTGAATCTGAAAAAAAAAAAAATAATAATTCAAGGCCTTGCAAAGTTTTGGAAAGTAAACATACATTGATACAGGTCCTTGAAAGTGCTTGAATTTATTTTTCTGGATATTTCTGGATAAAATCCATATTATTCCCTCCGTTTGGATGAAAGTGTATTTTGCCAACACTTTGTGGCCTATATGCACTCTACCTGATTTACGTTAATTACGCGCATTTACGCGTTACTTTAATGTTTCCCGCGTTTCAGGGTACTTTGTGTTTTCATGACGTTCACACACGCACGAAACTACTACGATAGTACCTCAACGTTTCTTATTGAACACAACAAACGTGTCTCCCCATTAAGTCCTTGAATTTGATTGGATTGTATTGGATCTGGAAAATCCTTGAATTTGAAGTTAACCAAGGTGTGGGAACCCTACCTATATATTGTGTTAGTAAAGTGGCCAATGCCATCAAAATAAAAAAAAGTGTTTATGCTATTTGAGCAACACTCAAACTGTTTAGATGTTTTTCGCCATGCAAATATTTGTTATTTTCTATTTTGTTGACTGGCTGCTTTCTTTACTATACAAGAATGTCAGTTTATACTTGTGTATCACACTGAGCTTTTTAGATAGCTACACATTTAAACAGGTACAAAAGGTCAATAGTGCATAAGAAAATTAACATTTTTATTTATACAGTGTATTTATTTTTATGTATATTTTTGTATAAATGTGACTGAAAATTGTCTTACTGAAAATTGCCTTGAAAAGTGTCTTATCAATTTTTACAATTTTTTTTTAAAGTACTGCTGTAGCTGCTGTTTAGGTATGTTAAAAAATGGTAGTGATTGTGCTATGAGCAAATTCTTATGCTTCTGAACTTTGCCAATGTATCACAGTACAATCATTCCACGTCAGACATTTATGGAATAAACATGCATGTCTGACAGATTTTGATAAATTAATGGATCATTTTGAGTTTGATGGCTCACACAATCAAGGAACGTTGAGAAGTTGTGTCATGTTTGACAGCTTCATTTATCAACTAATTAGTTTTGATCAACAAAGCCATGTATTTATTTATTGTGTTAACTGTAGTTATACTTGCTCTTTTGCACACATGTGCCAAAACATTTTTAATCTAATGTGAAAAAAAAATTGCTCAGAATTCTGATTAAATTAATCCTTCATCCTTGAATAAAACTATTCATTTCATTTTATAAAGTATAACTAACCCCGAACCTTTGAAAAGTGCTGTGTAAAATCCATTTACTTTAAAAGCAGAATATAGTTTATTTTGTAATTTCGTTATAATGTCTATATGAGTACATCTGGTGCAATAGACAAATAGTTCTGCAAAACTTTACACCACTTAAAAGTGGAATCTGTAGAACTTGAAAATTAAGAGGTGAAATGTTCCCTAATTATAGGGTTAATTTTCATCACTGTTGATCCGAGAGGCTGAGTCCAGCCTTTCTGTCTGCATTTAATCTTGCTCAAACACTGCTCTGTGTTCCACCTATCAAACATTACAGGGTCTCAAAAACATCAAGCCTAAGTTAGTTCAATGCACCTGTTAAAACTTGAAGTTGATTTTGCATGCACGCACACACACACTCACAGAGAGAGAGAGAAACACAAACAACTGAGCAGTGTGTAGAAAAAAATGTCAGAGGACAATGGAAACTGTGTGGCAGCTTTATATGGAGCCCTATTATCAGGAGATGACAGGATAAGATATGAAAGCTAAAACAAACTACATTGACATTTAATCACTTTAAAAAGAATTTACACATTGTTATTGAAAGCTTCATGTTCAGTTTTAAAGGTTATTTCTATCGACGCTAGACCAAAAAAAGATGACATCTGAAGACACTTTAAATAATTTATTTAAATACACTTTAAATACTTCATTTTCCCTTTTTTTTTTCCAAAAAGAAAATAAACTTTTTCAAAATCTGTAAATGTTTATTTTGTAGAAGTAAGAAAAGCCCATTGCAGATACTCCCTATGGCCAATCCATTAGTTCATTTAGGGCCAGATTTACTGAACAGGGCAAATTAGCGTGAGAGCGCAATTCCAAAAAAGCGCCTATGGGAGTGGAGAATCCTGCTTACTTGATCTACTGACGACAAGCAAAATTAAAGAACACAGACACAGCCGGATCATTTCCTTAATGACCAACGCAATCTATCAAGAGCTGTGCAAATTAGCATCTGGTTTAAGACATGCTTATTTTGGCCAGTAAATAATGGCACAAACATTAAATTGACTAGCACAAACCTTACTAAATCACTTTGAATGATTTATTTAAATACTCTCTTCCCATTAATTTTGGTAGGAAAATGGAAACTCTAACAAATGCATAAAGTAAACCTCAAAAATAACTCTAAGAGATGGATGTGACATTTCCAAACCATTTCCATCAGCCACTGGTTGCTCTTCAGTTCCTTTCTAAAATCCTTTCTAGTGCATCATAGTCTGTATAATTTCTGACATCATCTAAAGATACCAAATGTGCTATTTCCCTATTTGAAAAATAAATAAATAAATAAATAACTACCATTGTTTTTGAAGAAGTGCAGTGCCTCATCACTCTCTCAAATGTCATATGATTTACCAAGCAAGTAAACCCTGTGCTGCCCTTGAGAACCTCCATGTGACACGCTGGGGCCAAATATGTTCCTCCTTATTTTATCGGTCTGGTCCCTTTGTCTTTCATCTAACAGCTAAATCCTGTTAGCCTCTTGGTGGTACCTGATGGAGCTAAGCCTGTTTAGCCAGTTAGCCTCTTACCCTGCCGCTGCAATACTCAATGGTCCTAATGGAATTACACTAATCCTGTTTGGGGAACCCTGAGCAGTCGTCCAAAAAGTACAGGTCACTTTAATAGTGATCAAAGCCTGTAAAAAATGACTCTGTTGTTGATTTACTGTTGTATTGTCCTCATATATTCACAGAACACATCGCTGGACCTGATTGAAACAGGCAAGACTCTCAAAGTCCAGGCAGAACGGCCCCATCTCGTCAGCTTGGGAAGTGGCCGTCTGAGTACGGCTATAACTCTGCTGCCCCTGCCAGAGGGTAAGTTCAGTCACCTTAAAAATTACTGAATATAATATACCCTCATAAAGTATCCCCCTGCAGATATCTGCTAAATTGCAATTATGGTCGTTTGACTAAGGATGTGGTTAGCTGTGGAATTTGTGTTTAGTGGCAATGATTCTTTCAAATTCTGAGACCTAATTATATGATCGCACCGACAGAAGGGATGCCAATTGAAAAACTGGGGACTAAATTTGTGTTTTTGTGTGGTAATGGTAAAAGTTCATGAGAGAGGACAAATATCACTGCACTGTCTGTCCTCAAAGCTTGGCTATGCTTCATCTCATGAAGAATGACAAATAGAGGACTTCTCATCCCCTGACATTGAGGAAGAATGAGAGCAAGCATTCAAGTATAAATCCCAGAGGAAGTCAATTTAGTGCAGTGTTCATCAGCGAATCATTTTATAGGGGATTGAATACACAATTTCCTGTGCTCATGTAGATAGATGGATGGATTTCATTATTGTAGCCTATTACTCTAAACATACAAACTTATATATATACATATATGATCAATCTATGATTGAGGTTTTTTGTTTTTTTGAGGAGTATTGAGGTTTCAGTTTTATCTTGTAAATTTCATTCATGATGGCAGTGGCTTTAGAACAAAAGACAGAATTATGGGGCTATGACCTGACTTTGACAATCCCCTGTTGCTTCACATTGTGTTACTGAGCTTGCTTGAGTGAGAGCATGCACATTTGTCTAAGGGAATTTGCATGACCGCTTGAAAAAGCATCATGAATCATGATGTTCATCTTCAATTTAAAGTTCAGCACACACCCACTCTTGTCACTTTTTTCTTACCATGTCTGCACTCACAATAGGCTTGGGTGATGGCTTTTTACTCACATCTGCTTCATAGACACTGCGAATGAAATAACTTGGGGTCGGATGGGGTGGGTGTGGGGGGGGTCCTGTTTTTGTTAAAGAAGGGAACACAAACAATGTGTCCTTTTGTTGCAAGCATTTCATATGCATGAAAAAAACATTTTTTATTCATTAAACTATTTAAAGTACAGCAATGTAGCAATAATCAGTTTTAATAAATCTCCATCACATGTTGCAGGGAAGACTACACTCGGCCATGGGAACACAGACATTAATATTCAGGGTCCCGGTGTCACTGCTCAGCATTGCTACATTGAAAATGTGGGGGGAGCCATTACCCTGTACCCCTGTGGAAATCAGTGCTCATTGGATGGCTTAGCAGTTACCAAACCTGTCAGACTCACACAAGGTAAGCAACGGGCTCATCGAACTCATTACCCCAGCATTTGTTCAATATATGTTGAATAGGTTTCAAAATGGGAACGAAAGAAAAACTGTGTCCAGCTGATGGTTCACTTTAACTCTTTTGACAGTTATTCAATAGATTCAGCCTGCAAATCAATATCAGAGGACTTTGCTTTAATTCAGTGAACCTTCTATGAAACGCAAGCTGACTGCATCAGATATTAACCATTTCTAGCACGGATAAGATTGCATTTTCAAAACAAATATAACTGTGTAACCACTTTTTGTTAGTAGTGATAAGAATATCATTTTTAAAAAAACTTGACCTTATGCTATCTACTCTTTGGAGCTATTTCAGGCTGTTCACTTTGGAATCACATCAGTGTGTTGTGTTAAACACGGGCCAGGAAATTGCACGATGATAATGATGAGGACTTGTTTGAACTTCCATTTGAAGAACTTGACCTTGCCCTACTATGTTGTGCTATTTCAGGCGCTCTTGAATCGCTCTGTACATAGTTATATAGATTGAAGAAGTGCGATTCTAACAGAGAAATATTTTGTTGATTTGGATTCTCAGAATTCTCTCCAAGTTTCATCTTGTCAACAATAATAGCCTATTAAGCTTATTTCAAGCTTTTATGGGACAACTAAGCATTTCTTTTTGACGTTTGCTAAGAGTAACCTAATTTTTTATCACCAGTTCGACCGTTAGTGATCAAGGGATAGTCATCCAGATAAGCTCATTTGCAGTACGCCCCCCTGATCGCGATCTGTGCATGACAATAACTTGAGACAGCCGGCGCGAGGACAGCTGTCCAACGTGCCACCCATGCGACTACTTCCAATAGTTCTGAACAGGCTTAATGCCTATCATTTTTTTCTTCTCATATTAAATAAAAATTCGAGTTACATTAAAAGTGACTTGAACATCCGCGAAGTCCAGATTTTCGCCAAAGGAGAAAAGTAAGTTAGGCTATCCTGTCTTGAATTCACCGGATGTCGAACACTTTGTTGTATTAACTGCTTGTCCGTTTTCTTTGGACTGGCGATGACAGTCGGGCAGGTGACAGCTGTGCTGTTTTGTGTCGTAGGCTATTAGAAGTCAGTGAGTGGACGAGCTGTCGTAGCGCTTGACATTTACATCACAAAAGCTGTGGTCAGACCAACGCGCTCATCGCTCTTTACTCCACGCGACGTGAGTGCTCCACACGAACATATCTGTCCACCGTTTCTCAGCGGTTTCCAATCGTTTGGATATCAGTTTGAGTTTGTATCCCAAACCTGGTAGGTGAAATTGCTTTATCTTCAATATTTATAGCCTAGTTGCTGCTGTAGTTGCCTATTCCAAAGACACCGTATAGATTAACCAACGAACACCGTTTACTAATCCCGTTGTGTTCGTTAATGTACGTGTCTGATCAAAGAAAGGCATATGGAACTAAGAGGATAGCCAAGAGGATAGCCTACATTACAATTAGCCTTGTATATAGTGCCGTAATAACTTATTTTTTTTTCAGTCAGTTATGTGTGTATTAGAGTTATGATAGAGATAACTGAATGTTATTTTATGTTCTCCACACACTTCTACCTAAAACAGACTATGCTTTCGTGAACTTTCTGAGAACGCTATCAAAACGCATTAAAACTATGCCAGCCTTGTTATGAGACTAATTATAGTGATGATAAAACAGCACTGTGCTATCTGTCATATCACCTTGATTACTACAAAACCCTTTTCTGACCTCATTATGCCCAGCATGACCCCTCTGATGCCCCCTTATGCCATATGTCTGTGTTATTGTTTAGCCTTTTAGTTGTGTGTAAATAGAGGTTCTAGTCTGTCCTCAGTGCTTTGACCTAATAATACATGTGCACCACATTTTTTATAAAGATTACAAACTGTACACAAATATTTTATACATTTTATATATTTTCTTATTTCTCTCAGTGAATGCTCAGGCTGGCCTGTAACCACCAGATATATTGTCATTAATAATGGCCCTCATTATTAATGTTAGTGCTGAATTTTTAGAAGGTTATTTTGATTCCTAAAATATCACAGTCTGTTCTTTCTTAAATATGTGGCTACATTTTGTTTTCCTGTAGCCTATGTGCCCATATGTGGAAAAAAATACAGGAGCACTGTAAGCTTTGACATCATATGGAAAACTATTTCATTTAGAAAATTTTCTGACTATTTAGAAACAAAGACTACAGAGGTGTTAAAAAGGTTAACAGAGGTCTGCATTTTCATTTAAATAACGGCATGGCATTAAGTGGAGCTCAGTGTTGCATTTCATATCCTGTCCTCCACTCTACTGTAAGTCAACAATGAGTCATATTGATCTTAAATTCACTTTGTGCTTTCTGTGCATATGTTCATTATGAAATGGAAGTCTGGGTCATAATTCATTGGTATTTTGAGAGACGACTTTGAGTCTGCATTGATCCCTCTGCCCCATTAATCACAGCAATTTCATAAGGGCAGAGGACAAGGTAATATAGGAGGTATATATGTGTTTCTTACGAATAGACAAACTCAGTTTAATCTTTTTGTTTGAACTCCTGTGATATGGCAAGATAAGCCGTGATATGAGTTTCAATAAAGCATGTAAAGAAGGACATGATTCAGGCCAGTCAAACACCGTGTGTGAGTGACTTGTACTGATTGATTTTTTGTTTGGCTTTACTGTTCCATCCACACCCTTGTTTTGTTTCATTCAGATGCTATAGATTACCTTGAAAGAATGAAGTCATATTTATGAAGATATTATTACCATTTTAGCAGTTGGAGGTATATAAGATCCATGCTCCATTCAGGGTTGGTGATATAGGTCACAGAAAATGTCACCAATATTACAACAGTTTCCATATTTGGGCTGTTACTCCTTTTAAAATAAACTGAATTAAAGACTGATCTATATTCCCGGTAGTTTTTAAAGTATTATTGTCAACTTGAGTGAAACCAATTAATCTAGAAGTTTCATCATACATAAAGCACTTTTTGATTGTTTACCACACATGATTCTTTTTTTCAGGGTGTATGCTGTGTTTTGGTCAGTCAGCCTTTTTCCGCTTTAACCACCCAGAGGAGGCCCTCAGGATGAAGAGTTTGATGCCAGGGGGAAGCCCTGGATTTACCAGTACCTACAAGAACCACTCAGGTATATATGCAGAAGCAAAATTACACTGACCTAAAATCTGGTAGTATAAGAACTGCTCTGGATACTGTGCTGTGGGGAGTTAAAGTGGCTGAAGGCACTCAGGAAAAGAGAGGAAGAGCTACATTTGCAAATAATGGTGTGCGTTCCGTTGATTTAACTAGACGTTATGGCAAAAGGGGCACAGAGAGGCATTGTACCCTAGATAATTATAACAAGTTCCAGACACTGCTCAGGTGACACAAATCTGCCTAAAATAACTCGGCCTAATCCTGCCTCTTTTAATATCCATGTTATTGGAGAAAACTCCAGCTGTATCTTTGCACATTTTAAACCCTGCTCTCACTCATTCAGCAATGACTCATTTCAAATAGTCTAGAAACCAGGAAGTGATTCTCTGAAAAGAATGGGAATTTAAATTGCCACAGGCATTCTGTAACTGCTGGAAAGCCCCTGTTGAGAGACCCTGGTTGAGTTTTAAACCCTTGAACACCAAAATGGACATTTTAAAGGAACATGACCCGCCATGACAGTGATGCATATCACATTGTTGTGAAGCTATATGTTGGGGTAATGGCCTGTTGCATCAGTGTTTATCTAGGTGACCCTAAAGCTCTTTCATTCAGTACTGTAAAAAACAAACAAACATTGAAATAACATGTTCTTTGGTCTGATGTAAGGATACTGATCTATACTTATCTGTCCATTTTGATAATAATTCAAATTCATCATAACACGATGGCAATTAGTGGTTGATTGTTTATTGACAGTTTTTATTTATTTGTGATGTTCTGTCACATCTATCTTTGTAACCATCATTCTGGTAGTTTTCCAGAGTTGATATTCTCATCAAATTCATCTTATTTTCAGGTTTCACTTGATTGATTAATAATTCAATTTTAAAATATTGAATTTCTTATGAATTCTTAGCTATTTTCATTACTGGATAAAAATAAATAAACATAATTGAATGGCATCTCAAAAAAGCAAACTTGCAGTGCAACTTTTGCTCTGACTGGTGGACAGTAGAAGTGTATTACCCTAAATTTCTCTACATGTTTGATTGATAAAATTACAGTATCAAATATTTATTCTTATATTTTAAAATTAAATGACCTTGTCCTAAAGGGTGATGTGATGTGAGCACATAAAAACAGCTCCTGTTTACATAAAATAACGTGTTTATTGTGTGGTTAGTGCACCAGTGGCCCTGGCTGCAAAGAGTGAGCAGAATTGAGTGCGTTCAGTTGGTTTTGAGTGCGCAGAATGAGTCATGCCGTAATTCAGCCTCTATTCTCTTCTGTCTGCTGTGACCTTTGGGCTGAGGGTGGGATTCATGCCATCCGCAGTCTGTAGGCCGAGAGACACACCCAGTTGAGCATATGTGTAAGGGAGGGGGTGTTGTGGGTTTGTATGCATTATGCCCAGCCACGTCCTGCGTGGATGTAGAGCACAAGTGGTATGAGAGAAATATGGGTTGACCAGGAGCACAGGAATATGTCTATAAAACACGTCAAAACTCCACAAAGCACAACAAGCATGTTTGAGAGAACACTCATTTAAACAGAATACACACCAGACCAGGACATTTGACGGCACATCACTTTTTTTGACACACTGCCTGCAATCTTAATGCAATGGGCCGCTACATAAATGAAGGGTTTTAAATAACAGGGTTATGGAGCTGTTTACACTGTTATATACAATGAGAGAGCCTGTACTGTGACAGGAAATAAAAATGAACACAAAAGACACAACATCAGGAGTGGAGCGGACAAATTCTTTCTACATGCACTGCAATGGTCACAATATGACGTCACACTATGCAACTATTTTTTAACATACAGTATAAATAACTGTTTTTTAAAATAGCCCACTTAAAGTGTTAGTATTACAAATAAATGTTAAAAATTAATAAATGTAAATGAACAAACGTTTACAATCCTGTGAAAATACCCCTGCTTCCTGCGCCCCTGCTTCTGACTTTTTAAATATTGACATTTCAAATCCGTGATTGCAAGATTGCTGTGAGAAATAGATGCCTGATGTTTTTGTTGTTTGATTAGATCATAATAGCTTTAAAAATGCAGTAATTCACAACCAGAATTTTATAATCTGGTCGGGTCTAAGAGAAGGGTTAAAAAATCAAGAGAATTTAAAAGAAAATTAAAAATTAAAAGCAGGGTAAATAGTTGCAAAGTAAGTTTTAACCTTCATAGAAAAAAAAATTATTACATAAGTTTAAATTTTTTTTAATGGGGTGGTTTACTGCATTTTTTCTTTGCATGATTGTGTTTATGGGGTGCAATATAACATGTATCCGTGGTTTTTCTTTTTTTAAAAGTCTTATTTTTCATAGATTTCACCTTTATTGTAAGCCGCTTTCTCCTCTGTCATTTGAACGACCGGTTGACTATGAAACCACTCCCTCAGAAACAGCAATGGGCTCAGATTGGTTAGTTTGGGCCGGTGTGTTGTATTTGGCTAAATTGCGTAGTGCACGTTGTCTGGAATCTTCATGCCCATTACCTTTACGGGCGTAAGTTGCATGTGCTCCGGTCAATGTAAATAATGGTGTTGATGTCGATACTGCTGTATCAGTTTGAGCCAGAATCAGACCCAGAAGGCGGGATAAAGAGAGTCAAGCAGAACCTCTCTAAACACAAAACATTTCTGAATGGTACATTTTTTAAAACGATTATTCTTCTATTCTACTATTATTATATAAGAATTTCGATACTTTGTTACTTGAAAATGATACGATTTTAAGGAAGTGGGGGTGGTGGTGGAAGTGACGTATATGCCGTAAAACAGTCGAATTTTGTAGTTCTCTTTGTTCGCCGGTAACTACCCGAAACCCGAACTTTAAAAGTACGATTAAAAACGCTACAGACCCCATCAGGCTATGTCAGATGTGTCATTCAACCTACCGTAAGTCGATGTACCATCACTTGGAACTATATTATGAAGGTTGAAAAGTTACCTGGTGTTACTTTAAGGATTCGCGGACTACTTGCAAACTCGAAAAACGTTTTTGAACGAAATAGAAAATGTGAATGTATATACGAACAAGTTCTCCGTTTAGGATTACATCTCGACAATAAAGCCAAGAAATCTGCTCGCATTTGTCGGACCTGTCTCAACTTTATAACAAGGTTGGAGCGCGACTTGACTGATTTTAATAAATGGAGAAATGACGAAAGACACCAGGCTGAAGAAGCATGTTCATTTGAGTCTTCAGAGAAAAGAGACCAGGAGCCAAAATAATGTTTCAATTATGTATTTAATGATGATTTAAATACAGAATGATGAGTAGCATCTAATAATTATTATTTTTTTTTTTTAAACACCGCTTATAAGGGGTACAGCGACTACCAGTATGGGTATGGTGTGCCGTGTGCGAGTAGTATAACAGAGCGTTACTATTGTTTGATTCAGCAATGGCGTTGACATGAGTTGCATCGCTGTGAAACTCATTTCGGTTGCTTCTTTTACTTGGTCTTCCATGAGTGCGACCAAAGGAGAAACCCCAATGACAACTGGGTTTTCATTCGAATTACTCCTCAATGGATCGAGTCCAGACCGAACTTCCAAAAAAATGTTGTGGGCGGGGTTCGGGCTGGCATCCAGGCAATAGCATTGCTATCTAATCAGTCAAAATTGTCTTAAATAGCCTCTGCATAGCTATTCATATTTCATAACATGAGATTTTGCCCGGATGTATTCAATCTTGATTTTGGTAAAAATAAAATAAAAAATAAAAAAAAAGTTTCATGAAAATTGAGTCTTACAAGGTATGAGGTAATAAAAACCAATAATAAAAAAAAACTGTGACCATGACGGCGAATAACACCCGTCAAATGTTGTATAAGTCAACTCTGGAGGGTAAGAATGTCAAATCACTAGGCCACAGCAGCCTTTTTTTTTACACTGTACTGTTTTTTTTTACGGTAAAGTTTAGGCGACCACATAGCCAGTTTTTTTAATACCATAAATTGAATACCATTCAATTTATGAGAGGTTCTCTCGTACTGCGTAATATCTTACGCTAAGGGAAAACCTCTTTTCTACAAGATATTGAAGCCAAAAATTATCATTAATTTTGAAGTGAAGAAGCCAAAAATCCTTCTGCGGAATGAGCCTTTGCATCTGAAGCCGGGTCAAAACTACGGTAAAAACCAAAGAAGCTCATCTACTTAGACACGAAATGTCGAAACTATTGAGCAAAGGGGCCATAGAGCCTTTATCTCAAGCTCTGAGCGAAGGGGGTCTATATACGTTTTGGAATTGGCAACAGAAACTTGGGATGAGATACACAAGAAATTATTACACACAAGAGCATTTTAAAGACAAAAACCTGACAAATTTCTTGTAAAAAAAACCCCATAACCATAGTACAAGGAGAATATGTATTGCATTCTGCAGAAGAAAAAAAAAAGTTCTTTGAACCATTTAAATTCCTGCCAGGTATAAAACAAACAGGTATTAAATAACATACATTTCCATAATAATGGTTTATAAATCTAACGCTGGTCAGTCAGCATCATCTTAAAATGCCCCTCTAACCCCAGTACCAGCTGTTGATATCTTTGACCACTGTGTAATGCTTATTCTTTTTAATATGATCACAAATCCGACAGGCATGGGCAAGACCGAATAATGTTTCCTTTGACACAAAATGCTCTCTCCAGGTGAAGTACTGCCTGTACAGAACCTCGTTTTGGTCCATGAGTTTCAGATGATCAGCCAGTTCTTTTGGGGATGGAAAGTCATCCACATGGATGAAGGCTTCACTTGGTATGAACTGCTCATAGTTCTCTCTCGGTGGACCAATAACGACAGGAACGGTACCAATCCCAAGAGGGTTGAACAGCTTCTCAGTTATGTAGTCTCTATGAATGGAATTCTCAAACGACAAGTAGAATTTGCAAGTAGACATCAAATTTACATAATCATCATTACTCATTAGTTTGTTGAAGTGTCCTCCATAGACTTCCACATCA